GGAAGGAGCTATTGTTTTTGTTTGTTTTTTAGTTATTATTATTATGATTATTATTATTATTTTTCTTATTGGGGAACAGTATGTTTTTCCAGGACCCATCAACTCCAAGTCAAGCTGTCACTTCAATCTAGTTGTGGAGGGCGCATCTCAGTGGCCCATGTGGGAATCGAACCGGCAACCCTGGTGCTATGAGCATTGTGCTCCAACCAACTGAGCTAACTGGCTGCCCCAGGAGCTACTGTTTTACCTAATGTGTAGATGGGAAAACTGAGATAAGGGCCCTGGATGGTTTGCCATGGCAGGGGCTGAGCTGGAGCCCAGGAATCCAGCTGTCTGGGCAGCACTCTTTGGAGCCCAGCTCTGCGTGCCCTTAACTCAGCAGGTCCTCCTGTCACCAGCTTCTCCCGGCCCTGGCAAAGAATCTAAGGGAGTGAAATGTAATAGTAGGTACAAATCCCTGGCTCAGATTTCTCTGAGTTTGGCATTAGCTGGAGGTCATCCCTGTCCAGGAATCCCAAAGACAAGAGAAAATGGATTCCACATGAGGGATCAGTGGGCTTAAGGCATCAAGGGGCCATCCCTAAGGGCAAAACAGCTTTAAAGGAACCCAGGGCATCTGTTAAGGAGACCGCTGAAAGGGAGGGGAAGAAAGAGGAGAAAAGGGAGAGGAGGGAAAGAGAAAAGGAAAAATGAGAGAAAGAGAAAGTACAGGAGGGAGGGAGGAAAGGAGAGAGAGAGGAGGAAGATGAGCGTTTATGGTGGGATGGGAATAAGGACCATCGCCCATCTTCTGATTTAATCCTCACAACAACCCTATGAAGTAGACCTGATGCTCATCCCTATTTTACAGAGAAGGAAACTGAAGCTTAAAAAGAGTGAGTAACTTGTCTTATGGACCTACACAGCAGCTGAGTCAGAAATTTGAACCCTAGTAATCTGATTTTAGAGCTTTTAACTACATAGTACCAAGTGGAAAAACACAACAAAACATAAACACATATATACACATTCCAAGCATGTTAATTGTATATAATACCACTTCTGTTAAAAATGCATGAATATCAAAGGACGCCATCAAGAAAATGAAAGGACACCCATACATGGGAGAAAATGTTTGCAAATCATATATACAGCAAAGGACTTCTACCCATAATATATAAAATGCTATTACAACTCAACAATAAAAGACAACCTGATTTAAATATGGGCTTGAGTAGAGATTTCTCCAAAGAAGATATACAAATAGCCTACAAGCACGTGAGAAGACGGTTGATGTTATTAGTCAGAGAAATGCAAATCAAAATTACAACAAGATCCCACTTCCTATCTACTAGAATGGCTGTAATAAAAATGATAGATTATAAAGAGTTAGTGAGAATGAGGAAAAATTGGAAATCTCATGCAGTGCTGATGGAAATGGGAAATGGTACAGCTGCTGTGGGAAACAGGCAGTCCCTCAAAGATTTAAACAGAATTACCATGTGATGTAGTACCTCCACTCCAAAACATACATCCAAGAGAACTAAAGACATGCCCACACAAAAACGTGTTCGTGAACTTTTTTGTTTTGTTTTGTTTTGTTTTGTTTTGTTTTTGTTTTTTTTTGTTTTGTTTTTAGCTGAGCCATCCTGCTACCTGTTGGCAGCTCAGTGGCTGCTCAGCTCGGGCTGGACTCGAACCGCTGTTGCTCAGAGCTCAAACTCTTGAGCGAGCTCTTAACCAACTGAGCCACTCGGCCGGCCCTATGTGTTCGTGAACTTTCATAGCAGCATTATTCATAATGGCCAAGAAATAGAAACATCCGAAATGTTCATCAATTAATGAATGGATAAACAAAATCTGGTGTATCCATATAATTGAATATTATCTGGCAATAAAAAGGAATGAAGTACTGATACATGCTACAACATGGATAAATGCATAACACGGAATATACAAAAAAACCCCCAGTGAATGTACATTTTTAAAAAGGCGAACTTTTTAAAGTATGTGAATTATAGCTCAATAAAGCTGTTATTAAAAAGTAAGCAAATACTCGTATGTATAGAAAGAAATCTAGAAGGATGTGTGCTGAATATTAGTGGTTATTTTTCTATAGCCAGATTACAGGTAATTTTTTTTCTTGTTAGTGCTTTGTTGCATTTTCCAGATAGTCTACAATAGACGTTTATTACTTTGGTAACCATAACATCATTTCTTTTTAGTCGGTTAAAGGAGCATGGGTGGAGTTGCCTGCTCCAGCTTTCATTGCAGGGAGATAGCTGCCTGCAAACCCATCTCCCAGCTGACATGGTACCCAGCTGGCCAGAGAAGGACAGGGGCATGGGATGGAGAATTACCTCCTATGCAGTGATAGGTGTCAAGCCCGCACCCCCACCTTCAGCCCTGTGAGCGGGGTGAGGCTGTGGGAGAACATGTGCCTGGCCCCAAGCCCTAGCCACATCTGCCGTGTCTCTGCTGGCCCTATGAGCAACTGGGTGGCATCAGCCAGAGGCAGGGAGGCTGGAGTCACACATCCCAGATGTTGCTGGAGGAAACAGATTTGCCTGCAAGGATCTATTGAGAAATGAAATCAAATTAGTCTGGGAAAAGAGCCTCAAGTTCCCCTGGGGGCACTTCAGAGCAGATGAGCAGGTAACACATAAACCCCTTTCCCTGACTCTGAGCTTTGGGGATACTCAAAGTGTACTTTGCATAGCACCTAATTTAGTCTAAATTATGGGGTGCTCTCACCTCTTTTCTGTGGTAACACACATGGTATGGGGGTAGGGAGTGCACATTTAGCATGTTTCCCTGTGTTCCCCCAGGTGTTGACTGAGCCTTTTTATTACAGGAATAATGTGGAATGTTCTCTGGATTATTTTGGAAACCTTTTATTTTGATTGATTTTTAAAAAGTATATCATTCTTACAAGTCAATGACATAAAATAGAAAAAGGGACTGCTTTAGAAGAACACAACTCAAAACACATAGCAAGTTGCCAAATGCAACTTGTTTGTATTCTGATCTGAACATATCAACTGAAAGAAGAGTTCTTTGAGGTAGTCAGGGAAATTTTAATACTGAGGTCTGTCCATTAAGTTCACGAACTTGTTGCAATGATGTTGCTAATGTGTTTTTTTTTATATCAGAGGGATTATTCATTATGAATTTGTACCAACTGGACAAAGAGAGTTAACCAAGTTTGCTATTTGGAAGTGCTGCGTGAAAAAGTTAAAGGAAAACGACCTGAACTTTTCACCTACAATTCATGGCTCTTGCATCACAACAATGCACCAGCTCACACTGCACTGTCTGTGAGGGAGTTTTTAGCCAGTAAACAAATAACTGAATTGGAACACCCTCCCTACTCACCTGATCTGGCCCCCAGTGACTTCTTTCTTTACCCGAAGATGAAGGAAATATTGAAAGGAAGACATTTTGATGACATTCAAGACATCAAGGGTAATAAGACAACAGCTCTGATGGCCATTCCAGAAAAAGAATTCCCAAATTGCTCTGAAGGGTGGACTAGGTGCTGGCATCAGTGCATAGCTTCCCAAGGGGAGTACTTCAAAGGTGACTGTAGTGATATTCAGCAATGAGATATGTAGCACTTTTTCTAGGATGGGTTCGTGAACTTAATTGTCTGACCTTTGTATGAGCTAGGTATTAGGCGATATTGAAAAATCATTGCTAATGCTATTATCACTACCCAGAATTCTTTTGTTCATGCATTTCTGTACCTATCTCCCCTTATTAGACTACAAGCAGGACCCTGCCTGTCTCATTAGAGGGAGTAGGGGTAGCACAGTGGCCAACAGTGGGAACTCCACTCACTCGTATGATCTTAGGCAAGTTACTTAATCTCTCTGCATTTCCCCCCTCATCTATAAAATGGGGGAAATAATATAACCCAAGGCCTGGGCTTGATTTGATGATTAAATGAGTTAACATTTATAAAGTGCTTAGAACAATGTGTGGCACGTAGTACACTTCTAAGTACTTGCTTAGGAATGTTTAAAAATCCTGGGAACTATATTCTATTAATCCAAGGGGATCCTTGGATTTCACAAGGAAAACTCAGGGACAATAACCTAACCAGGTTCAGGTGACTCTAGCACCCTGGTGACAGAATGTGGCAAGCCAGGTAGGGGCAGGACATGTAAACACAAAACAGTAGACAGTGAGCAGCGGCCAGAAGCCTGGCTTCCGAAGTCAGACTGGGTTCAAATACTGACTCTACAACCAGTGAGGTGTGCGACTTTGAGCAAGTCACTGCTAACCTCTCTGTGCTTCAGTTGATACCTGTGTGAAGAAGCTATAACAGTATCTACCATACAGGCTGGAGAGGAGTAAATGGATCAACCCAACCCTTAGCCTTGCCAGTGCTCACTGCGCATGCAGCCCAGTATTCTTATTAGCTCTGGCACTTCGCTTACTCACTCATGGCTTTAGGGGCAGCCAAGTCCTTTCTGTTCTTTAGGCCTCAGTTTTCCCATCTTCTTGCCTCCAATACAAGACAGAAAAGAGAGTTAACAGTTGCTGGGCACCTATGCTGAGGCCAAGAGAGGTCTCTATTATTACCCAAGATCCAACAGCCAGAAGCAGGGACCGCCACTCAAATCAGCGGTATCTGGTTCCAAATTCACTCACTAAATTGCTTTTTTTTCTCTCTCAAGAGTTCCCTAGAAAAAGCCCTCGGAAAGCTTTCTTTCTTAAAGCTATAACCTCTGAAACTCAAGTTTTAAGAGAGAAGGAATCCATCCCCACCCCCCAAGCAGTGATCTCACGTGCAGCTGAAGCCACGAAAACACTTGCAGACTAGCGCTGGGGTAGCCATGCCCTTTTCGGGTTCTGATAGGACCACGATCCTCTCAGATCCTCCCCGCCAACCCGACCCCCGGCTGCAAGATCAACACCTCCCTCCCCACGCCCGCCCCAAATGAGCCCCTGGTCCAGCCCTAAGCCCGGCTGGGGTGGGGGGCGCATCCGCATGGAGAGGGGATGAACCAACGTACCCCAAAGCTTGCCGTCCTAGGCTGACCTGGCGCAGCGAGGGGGCAGACACCTCTCTCCTGAGGCTCCGCAAAAGCTTCTTCCTGTCGTTTCTTCCGAGTTCCACTCCACAGCCTGCTGTCTCTTCCCTGGGAGTCCGTAGGGGCTGCTTTGTTCTCTAGGGTCCCAAGGCTTTTAAGGGGCACCCGATGATACCAGGGATGGAACTCTACCGATACCAAGATATTGGAGGCACCTCGGGACCCAAGGTGGAGGCAACCTGGAAACAGGGCAGGAGTCCCCAGGAAAAAGAGAAGCGTCGTTAAGAATGGGATGTTGGGGGCGGGAATCCTGGAACTACGACAAGGACCGGATTTCTCCTGGCCCGGGATCCCCACCGGTGCCAGCCCCGCGGTCCCGCGCCCTGCGCTACCTGCGCGGCTGTCTGCTGCTTGCGCGCTGCTAGGCGCTGCCCGCCTGGAGCGGAGCGCACACAATGAAGCGCTTTCAGACGTGGCTGCGGTCCCAGAACCGGCGGGCGGGAGCCAGGGAGGGAGGGGAGGAAGGAAGGAGCCGGTTGGTCCTGGGCTCTTGCTACCCTCCACCCCCACCCCACCGACCAGGGACCAAGGGGCCATGCCTCGGGGGAGGGGCAGCTGTCCACTGGCGGGCGCGGGAGGGCCCCGGATGAAGGGGGGCACAGGTGGGCCCTGGGGGCTGCAGTAGGAGCACTGTTTGGACGAGGATGTCAAAGGGCGCTGACAGAGTCACCTCTCATCTCACTAATGGACCAAAACAGTTGTCTCCTCCTCCAATCCCGAGAAAGGAGGCCCCTGAGAGCACAAAAGGCCCTTGTGAAGGAAATCGAATCTTAATCTTGCCCCTCCTCGCTCTCGGTGGCATCCTTGCAGAAAAGTGACTTGGAATCCTAACCGGCTTCCCAAGCCCCCAGCCTCAGCCCTAAACCCAGTCCAAGGCACCTTGATATCAGGCGGACCCCAGGGCCGTCTGAGCAGCAGTAGCCGAGCTGCGAGGGGCGGAAACACCAGGTGCCCCTCAGGAGCTAGGCTGGCAACGGGCTGGCCCCCTCCTCTCGTCCCCTCCCTGATCTAGCCTTAACCCAGAGGCGCAGGCTCCGCAACAGCAGGTCTGGATAAATACAGGATATGTTTCAGTAAATAAAGCCGATTTCCCCCCTACAGGTAACAGCAGAGTCTAAGCATCTGAAAAACAGAGAATTCTGAACTCTTGTAATCAATCCGTGGTGGGATCTGAAAGACGGCTCTGCTGCTGGAGTATAGATTAGTGCGTTCTTTCCAGGATGAGGCTTGGCAAGAAGAAGGCAAATGCTTCAGAACGGTCATAAGCTTTTTTTTTTTTCCCCCTGCCAAAAATGGGTTTATTTGAATTAGTAATTCCTTTCTAGGATCTATCTTAAGGAAATAAACTAGGATTAGTACACAAGGTTCACAGGAGCGTTTATAATAGAAAAAAATTAGAAATAACACAAAAGATTAGAGAGATGTGTACCAGGATGCCACCAACGGTAACTTCTGGGTAGTGGACTTACAGACAACTTACTTTTTTTAGGTTTCTGTGATTACACGTTTTCTCTGTTGGGAAAGAAACGTTTTTTTATTTATTTTTTAACCAGCAACTTTATTACACACTGCGTCATCCTTCAGCAGCTCAGGGCTGCTCAGCTCAAGGTGCCCTGTTCAATCTTAGTTGCTGCGGAGGGGAGGGGCCGCAGCCCACCATCCCATACAGGTGTTGAACCGGCAACCCGACTGCTCAGAGCTTGTGCTCTTAACCAACTGAGCCACTCGACTGGCTCTGAAATTTCTTTTTAAAAGCATGAACATGAAGAGAAAGAAAGAGGATAACAGAGAATTGCTTCATTAACCTTAGATGATTGAACCTAAGCGTGAATTTAAGGGCCTCACCTAATTCAAACAAAAACTGGATAATCATTTGGCGAAATGAGGGATACCTCCAAAATATTCATTCATTGTCTCAAATCCTGACTTATCGAGTGGTTACAGCTTGGTTGATAAAATCCTGTATATTTCTCACCTTTTCTCCTCTTGCAACTACACTGTGTGATTCAGTTTCAGAAGCTACCAACATCTAATCTGTAAATAATTTGATGTTCACCAGACACAGTTGTAATTTTCCAGCCAGTGGTTTCCACATGCCATGTGGATCCTGCCAAAAACTCACATTTACTTGGGGCTGGACCAGAGGGGATTTTTGCCAAAGAGCAAACAAAAGCTCCAAGGTCTTTGGGCAGAGTCCTGGCAAAGCAAGGCTGCTGGTGAGTAACTTGGAGAAGTGTGTGCCACCTCTGCCCTCCCCATTCTTCCCCTTTCCAAACCCTTCCCCTCTAAAAAGCCACATGCAGCCTCCATTTTGAACATTTTAATTAGAAAGTTACAAAACATAATGGTTCTTTATACAAATTTTGCATTAAAATAATTTAATAAAACGCCAAGTAATGTTTATACACATCGTTAGCTGTCTTTCCATGTCTCATCATCTTTTGTAATCCAGAAAATCCAGCAACCATTTTTCATTTAAATCTCAAAAAAAAAAAAAAAAAGGCATGTTAAACAGCCCTAAATTTTTTCAAGGAAAGGCAGAGGGGCCAGTGTTAGGATATTTATGTGATTGAATAACTTTAAAATACCTCTGTTTCCAAAACTCTTATTTTGGTCAGCCTGAAAGAAAAGGTGCTTTGGAAATAAGAACTGAATCTCCGAGGTAAACTGAGGCACACATTGGACAGTATGTTTGTGAATGGGCAAGAAGGGATCACAGCAGGCATGTCCTTCCAGTGCCAGTGACATCTCTGAGTCATAAAGCAGATCCATCTGTCCTCTGAGAAAACTGCATGTTTCCTCAGGACAAGAACAGAGAATCAGTCTTCTGTGTGCAATCGAGCCCTGCTCCAGCACTCTTCTCCTGCAGACACTGAGTCATGAGGGTCATCTGGCTGGACTGCTTGTCATCTAATGGCCAGGCTGGATCGGGCTGACCGGGCTAGCATCCTTTCTCCCCTCCCTGCTCCTTGTGTGTCTTCCCCAAAGCTGTCTGCTCTCATGGACACCCTGTTCCTTAGTCAAGGGAAATACAAGTAGCTGGGCCTTCCCACTAGCCCTCCAAATAAACTCTGTGGTTGTCGGGCAGTGGGAGCTAATACCAACAACAGGTCCTCTGTCGTCCATGTCCTTTTCAGGAAGGGGGAGGGCTGCCATGGAGGAGTAGCAAGTGTCCAGGCTATTTGGTGAGGGCCAGAGAGAACCTGTTGTTACAATCTTTACTTCCCCCACTGCTGCTAAGGGGATTGGGAATGAAACAGCACTTCTGATTTCGGTCTGCTATTCTAGGGGCAGAGACAGAGGGCAAAGGCAGGGCAAAGCGCCAGCCACAGCAGGGCAGGATAAAGGGCTGTTCAGCTGAGCTGACGACAGACGATGTCTGTTAGACTGAGGACAGGTGGATGGTCCCAGTGTCCTCAAGTTGCCCACCCTCACGTGCACACACGTGTTTTGGAGCACCCGTACTCTCTCCTCTCCCCCTCTCTCCAATTCTCCTGTTAAAGGCCTCTCAGTTCTGGAAATAAAAGTCCTGAATGGGAAATGTAGATGCCCAGGAGTGGAAACTGCTAGTGATTTGCATATCTGTCACAAGAGAGCCCTGAAAAGAGTACAAAGTGAGTTACAATAGGAGGAAGAAATGCATAGCGTGTTTCTCAGTTCAAGAAAGGAAAAGTCTTTGCTTGACAAGATAGGACTCTTTCCAACATGTCAAAACTGACTAGTTTTCTCTTGAAATTCTAGTTTTCTCCTGAAATTCAAGTCTAAGGCCAAAAAAACAGAAGAAGAAAAAAAAGAAAGGGCAAATTATAGCCTGCATGAACCCTCAGACCTTTCCAAACTAGTCCCTGACAATTTTGGTAGGCACTTATAAGACGTGGAATTTGTGTAGAGAAAAATTAGAATTGTTTTTGTCCCTGACAGGAAAAGTGCACATGCTGACACGTGTCCATGGGCTCTTTACAGAAATGTCATAAGACGGCAGTTCTCAGAAGCCAACAGTGAGGTAGCCAGCGTCCTGCTTAGAGTTTTCAGAAATGGCCTTCTTACGATAAGTGCTCCTTATACAGTTCTCCCTGGGGCATCACTGTGACAGGGATCGTGGTGACCACTTGATTCTGAAACACAAATCTTTTGATTCTTTCAAACACCCAGAGGAAGATAAGCAGGATACTGACATACTGGATCCAAGCAAACTTGATCATTTCCCAGAATCCTGGTAGATAAGTACACACAGTTAAGGAGTCTCAGATGACATTTTCTAAGTAAATGCTAAACCAAAGTTTAGACAAGGTATGGCAAAAATGTTTCAAATATCCTGAAGATAAAAAGGATAATAAAAGATTATTAAGACATAAATATGGATGATTCTGACCTAGAAGAACCGCTAAGAAACAGGAGCAGGAAATGAATTTTTTTTTCCCTGTATGAACAGCAGACAGAATCGTTTATGTGGGGTTACAATGCTATAGTAATTTCCAATCTAAGCTTTCCCACATCTGCTCCTTCTGGGGACAACTGAGGAATCCTTCTTTTCTTTTTAGAAACTGAACTACTGTTGGCTCCTTAACAAAAAGGATATGAGATGACTTCCACGGGGTATCGGATGACAGCATTAATCACAAATGGAGCTTCAGCAGCCCTTCCCACCAGCCAGATGGGGTTGAGGTCATTCAGGATGGTGGTTACTGCAATACAATCAGGAGTTAATCCATGAATGCTCTCATTGGCAATACAATATTGAGGGCTATGAAAACACTCTTTTGACCTCTCAAGCAAATTCTGCACTTCAGAACTCAAATGATTTAAAACGAAAGCGAAATTAAATGCGCAAAGTTGCTCACACATTATTTGTTAAAACACTTGTCAAAACATCTTTAAAAACATGGCACCAGTCTATGTGGTCTATAATTGCTGAGTGGCTAAGCAAATGAATATTATGCTGCCACTAAAAATAGTACCAATTAAAACTTTGTTTGGGCCGGCCGAGTGGCGCGTTGGTTAAGAACTGGCTTGGGATGCCAGAGGGCCCTGGTTTGGATCCCACGTATGAGGGCCAGTGACACTGCCCTCTACAGCTAAGATGCTGAACAATAGCTCGATCTGGAGCTGGGCTGCTGTGGGTCGCCGGCGATGGCATAGGCTGCAGTCTCCTGTTGCAGTGGTTTGCCATAGGCTACCATGTGTAGCCAGCAGCCAGCGTGAGCGGCTGTCCAGAGGCTGGCGACTGATCTGCCTCGCCCGGGAAGAGAGCAATGATGGTGCCAGCTTGGGCCAGTGATGCAACATCCTCCACAACTAAACTGAAGAACAACAACAAAAAACAACAGCAACTTATCTGTTCCCCTTCCCCCGATTCCCCAATAAAAATCTTTTAAAAAAAAACCAAACACACTTTGTAGCAGCATGGAAAAATATTTATATTACAAAGTAAATAAAAATTAATTGGATCTAAAAGTGTCTGTAAGCTGTGATAGTAGCTATATAAAAAAACATCTGCGGGGCCGGCCGAGTGGCTCAGTTGGTTAAGAGCTCGCTCAAGAGTGCGAGCTCTGAGCAACAGCGTCTCCAGTTCAATTCCCGGCCCGAGCCGCTGAGCTGCCAACAGGCAGCGGGATAGCTAAGCTAAAAGAAAAAAACCATCTGCATATAGAGGAAGACTGGAAGGAATAAAGAAAGAAAAGTGGATTTGTAGTTTTTTAGTTTAGTTTCAGTTTTGTAGTTTTAAAATTCCTTTATTTTTGGTGTTTATTGTATTGCATAAAACCGAAAAGCAATACTGGAATTGCAGTCATCCTACTTGTTAAATGTCTGTGTGTAGTATCCATGATGTCTGCTTGCCAGGTAATACTTTAGGTGCTGTTAGAGAAAACTTCAGAACCCGCCAAAGGTGCCAAGTCAAGCACATGGAACGGCCTGAGAGCCCCTTCTCTGTAAGGGATGGACATACTGCCTTCCAGCCAGAACCTGGCTATTTTCCTAATTTGATTGCTGATAATGGATGAGTCATTCACATTCCCTATTTCCATCTGAGAACTATGGATAGTAATTTCTCTTTGGTTTCTTTTATAAAAATGGCAAAGGGAGCAAGTCAATTAAGCTTATACATATTTTTAAAAAAAGGAAACCCATTGAGGCAGTGGTGGGATAAATATAGCAATTAATTGGCACTAGCCTGCTGGACTATAGGAGTGGGAGTGTGGGTAAGATATGGGTCTTGAGATCAGGAGAAAAAAGACAAATCCTGGGGAGCCTGTTTGCCTCCCATCACTGACCATTCACTCTTTTTGACATTTTCATCATGAAAAAAGTTCCAGTTCGGTTTCTCTCCAAAGCCCCGCTAACCTGGAAAGACCCTGAGAGGCATCTGAATGAAATCAGGTGACTCACCATTCCGTTCCTGATAGGCAGCAATGATGTGGGTGAGGTCGTAGTCACGGGCGAAAGGACTGGTCCCGTTGATGACAGACACCTGAGATATGGCAGGAGGACAAGGTGTGAGCACCTGAGCAGTTTCTCCTCTTGTTTTTCTACCCTCCTGCCCACCCAGACTGATCTCAGAGACCACCAGTATCATGCTCTTGATGGCCGACTCCAGTATCAATAATCTTTTCTTCAAGGGTGATTGAATTCACCTGCAAACATTTAAGTCATTTGCTCTTAGTCTTTCCACTTGTGGGGATGGAAAAAAAGGGGTCAATATCCACCTTTTAAAGGTTTTAAAGCTCCGTATAAAATACCTCTCTCTCTCTATTCCAAGGGGAGAAATAATTCCTTTAATTTTTAAAAACAGACCATATTTTCAACTCATTTGTCTTTTCCTTGCTCTTCTCTGGATGATCTCTAATTTATCTCTTTTAAATGTAGAGATGGAAATAGTAAGATAGAAATGCAAATAGTAAGCATATAATCCCCTGAAGAAGGAAATGACTTTCTGCCCTCTAATATCATATTCTTGTTGATATAAACCTTCAAATAGAAGGTGCTATAGGTTTCTAGGTGAAGACTGGACTCAGAATGCTGAAACATAGGGGAGGCATTAAAAATGTAAAAAAAAAAAAAAAAGGTTCCAGTCCAAGATGGCAAGAAAGAAGCTTCCTGAACTCACCTTGTCCCACTGACACACTGAATCTACAGCTATGCAGCAGCAATTCCCTCTGAAAGAAATCTAGAAACTAGACTCGTACACATTGGGCAAATGAGGAAATACCCACATCACCCACATTGAAATGCGTCTTGGGACACTCTCAACTACTGGGAGCCACTATGAACAAAAAAGGCGGCTTGGACAATGACAAAGGTTTGAGAGACAACCAAGAGCTGTGGCTGGGCTGACTGACAAGATTCATCTCCTACATGAGACCATTCCATTCATCTCAATAGATGCAGAAAAAGTATTTGACAAAATTCAACATCCATTCATGATAAAAACTCTCAACAAAGCGGGTACAGAAGGAACATATCTCAGCATAATAAAGGACATATATGACCAGCCCACAGCTAACATCATACTCAATGGTGAAAAGCTGAAAGTTTTTCCTCTAACATCAGGGAGAAGACAATGAGGCCCATCTAGCCGCTTTTATTCCACATACAGGAAGTCCTAGCCAGAACAATTAGGCAAGAAAAAAAATTTAAGTCATTCATATTGAAAAGGAAGAAGTAAAATTGTCTCTATTGGTAGATGACACAATATTATATATAGAAAACCCTAAAGACTCCACCAAAAAACTGTTAGAACTAATAAATGAATCAGTAAAGTTGCAGGATACAAAATCAATATACAAAAATCATTTGTATTGCTATACACTAACAATGAAGTATCAGAAAGAGAAATTAAGAAAACAATCTCATTACATTTCATCAAAAAGAATACAAAATACTTAGAAATAAATTTAATCAACGGGGTGAAAAGTTTGTTGGAAACTATAAGACATTGATAAAAGATATTGAAGAAGACACAAATTAATGGAAAGACATTCTGTGCTCATGAGTTGAAAGAATTAATGCTGTTAAAATGTCCATACTATCCTGGCTGGCCGAGAGGCGCAATGGTTAAGAACTGGCTTGGGATGCCAGAGGGCCCTGGTTTGGATCTCACATATGAGGGCCAGTGACACTGCCCTCCACAGCTAAGATGCTGAACAACAGCTCAACCTGGAGCTGGGCTGCCGTGAGTCGCCGGCGAAGGCATAGGCTGTAGTCCCTGCTGCAGTGGGTTGCCATGGGCTACCGTATGTAGCCAGCAGCCAGCTTGAGCAGCCAGCAGCCACAGTGAGCGGCCGTCCAGAAGCCGGCGACTGATCTGCCTCGCCCGGGAAGAGCGCAATGATGGTGCCAACTTGAGCCAGTGAAGCAACGTCCTCCACAACTAGACTGAAGACCAAAATGACAGCAACTTGTCTGCGCCCCTTCCCCAATTCCCCAACGCTGTTCCCATCCCCCTAATTCCCCAATAAAAATCTTAAAAAAAAAATGTCCGTACTATCCAAAGCAATCTATAGATTCAGTGCAATCCCTATCGAAATTCCAATGGCATTTTTCACAGATATGGAAAAAAACAATCTCTGTAAAAAAAACAAAAGTTGTAGGGAATCACAAAAATTACCATATAGCCAAAGCAATCCTGAGAAAGAACAAAGCTAAAGGCATCAAACTCCCTGACTTAAAACTATATTACAAAGCAATCAAAACAGTATGGTATGGCTTAAAACAGATGCACATAAATGGAACATAATAGAGAGCCTAGAAATAAACCCAAAATTGGATGGTCAGTTAATTTATGGTAGGAGTCAAGGATATAATGGGGAAGAATAGTCTCTTCAATAAATGGTACTGGGGAAACTGGATAGCCACATGCAAAAGAATGAAACTGGGCTCCGATCTTACACCACGTATACAAATCAAATCAAAATGGAATAAAACTTACATTTAAGATCTGAAACTGTAAAACTCCCAGAAGAAAACATAGGGGTATAGTACTTTTTTGGTTTTTTTGGAATTTTTATAAGTTCATTTGAGCCAAACTGATGACAATTTGACGATCTCAAATGCTCCCCAGGGGTATGCTACTTGACATCAGTCTTGACAATAATTTTTTTGGATTTGGTATCAAAAGTATAAGCAACAAAAGCAAAAACAATATGTGAGACTATGTCAAACTAAAAAGCATGTGCAGAGTAATGGAAAGCCATCAACAAAGTGAAAAGGCAACCTACAGAACGGGAGAAAATATTAGCAAATAATACATCTGATAAGGGGTTAATACCCAAAATATATTAAAAAACTCACACAACTCAATAGCAAAAACAAAACTCAAAGCCTATCTGATTAAAAATGGGCAGAGGAGCTGAATAGACATTTTCCCAAATTGGCCATCCAGATGGTCAACAGGTACATGAAAAGGTGCTCAACATCACCAATCATCAGGGAAATGCAAACCAAAACCAAAATGAGATACCACTTAATGACTATTATAAAAAAGACGAGGGATAAGTGTTGGTGAGGATATAAAGAGAAGGGAACCCTTGTTCACTGTTGGTGGGAATGTAAATTGGTGTCGCCACCATAGAAAATAGTATGGAAGTTCCTCAAAAAATTAAATAGAGCTGCCACATGATCCAGCAATCCCACCTGTGGGTATATATCCCAGGAAAATGGACACAGGTTATTAAAGAGATATTGGCACCCCCATGTTTACAGTAGCCAAGATACAGAAACAACCTAAGTGTCTGTCAATGGGTGAATGGGGTAAAGAAGATGCGGTATATATATTATGATTATTCAGACATGGAAAAAGAAGAAATCCTGCCATTTGCAAAAACATGGGTGGACCTTAAGGGCATTATGCTAAGTGAAATAAACCAGACAGAGAAAGATAAAACTTCATGGTATCACTTATATGTAGAATCTAAATAAGTCACACTCATTGAAACAGAGCAGAAAAGTGGTTGCCAGGGGCTGGGGGACTCCAGTCGTGGGGGAAATATGGAGAGGTCTGTAAAAGTGCAAAGTTTCAGTTATAAAATGAATAAAGTCTGAAGATCTAATGTATAACATGATGACTGTAGTTAATAATACTGTATTGTATAATGGAAATTTGCTGAGACAGTAGAACTTAAATGTTCTCATACATACACAAAAAGATAAATATGTGAGGTGATGTATGTGTTAACTAATCAGGAAGAATCCTTTTAAAATGTATACATATATCAAACCATCATGATGTATACTTTAAATAGCTTACAATTTTATTTGTCAATTATACCTCAGTAAAGCTGAAAAAAAGGACAACAAAAAACAGCAAAAACTTTTTCCAAGAAAAAAAGAAAAAAAAAAGTGCCATGTTAAGTTTATATCTTAAGAGTCCTCCCTTTTTTTTTTTTTTCAACTTACACTGATTATATCTAGGGTGACCATAATTCCTAGTTTGTCTGGAACAGTTCCGGTTTATATCTGTAATTACTGATAATGTCCTCTTTCCTTTTCAAAAGTATCCCAGCCCAGCTTATATGGGTCCCCTTGTGATAAAATAAAGGTTACTAGTGGGTGTTTAAATCCATGATGAGTTCTGGCCTCAGACAGACAATTCATGGCTCTATTACTTTCAAGTGGTGGGATTTGGGGAAAATTAATTAATGCCTGTAAGTCCCAGTTTCCTCATGTGTAAAATGACAGTTCATTTTTTCAATAAATTGGTCTGAGTGCTTCTAATGTGCCAGGCACTGTTTTAGGCACTGGCGTGAAAGAATAGAGAAGATGCCAGTGCTTTTACTGCTGAGGGAGACAGCAAATAAACAAACTGAAAACATATCTTTAATATATCAGGTGGAAGTAAGAAAAGTAAATCTAGGTGAGGGGTGATGGAGAGAGGGGAATGCTGTTTTAGAAAGAAGTATCAGTGAATGACTGTGGTCAGCGACATTTGAAAAAGGACCTGAATGGAGTGGCAGAATAAGCTATGTGGATAGTTGGCAGAGGGAAAGGCAAGTGCAAAAGCCCTGAGGCAAGGAGCTGCTTCTTGGGTTTGAAGAACAGCACAAAGGCCACTATGGCTAGAAAGGAGCAAGGGGAACAATGATAGGACAAGCAGCTGGAGAGCTGGGAAATGACAGAATAGGCATCTCCTGTGGTTGCTGTGATGATTAAATGATATGATAGATTTAAATGTCTTAACTCAGCACTGGCATACTCGTATGTTATGTGCTCAATCATCGGTTGTTAATATTGTTTTTGAAATGTTTTACACGACCTGAAAAAGATCCCTTAGAATACAGCGTGTGCGTGTGTGCATATGTGTGTGAGTATCTGAAAGCAATAAACAATTTTGTTCTTAAAGACAGATTTTTTTTCCCTTTCTTTCTAGGTGTAAATAACAGGTGTATCTGTCTCCATATTTTGAAAGAATTCATGGCATGAATTCTTCAGAAATCCTCTTCTGTGCCACCCGCAGAGAAATGCGATTTCCAACTTCCATTTCTCCCTCTTCAAAGAACTGATCCACAGTAACATATAGAAACAAAGGAGATGGACAAGGAGAAGCATCCTTACATTGTATCGAACATCTAGGCCACTGTAGCTTAGGGGCTGCTTCTGCTGCAGCCTCAGGTCTCCGTTCACATATAATTGGGACCCCGGAATAGCGAAGGAGGATTGGAGAAACGCCATGCTCTGCATCACGAATGTCGACATCCTCTGAAATCATGAGAGGGAGAGGCAATACCAATCTCGGTCAGATCCGAAGGGCTCTGGGCTCCAAGGGTCACCTGTCTATAATTGAAGCCTAACAGTCCTTCACATACCTGGCTTAGTCATGCAGGAAGCACTCTGTCCAGAACCCTTAACGGAGCTGTTAATGGCTTATGTAAATTAATATGGCCCGAATGCAAAACACTTGATTTGCCTAAGTTAAAATCCCAAACCATCCCTCAGAAAAGAGCCTTTTTCTACAGTGTGGGTTCTCCTAGAAAACAGAAAGAGGGCTCTGTTCTATTAAAAAGACGAAAGAGAGAGAGGGCAGGCTTCCTTTAGGAACTGACTCACGTGCAACTGGTAGGAGAAAGTCAAGATGAGCTGCACACCAAGAACATCCTCTGTGGACTGCAGGGGAAGCTCCAGTTTAAAATGTAACATGTCCATTTTCCCATCCTGGTTCCTGTCTTCTTCTCTAGCCTAGGAAACCCAAAGAGGGTCAGTGACCCTGGTCCTTAAGAAGTTGGGAAGAATCCATATCATTATTGTACATACACAGTGACCCACTGTTCTGCCATACACAGGTATTATCTCCCTCATCAAAAGAAAAAGAGAAGAATAGGTATAAGTGGATCAATGCTGGGGAAAGAGACACAACGGCCATGGCCCCTGAACTCCATACTTATTTATGCTCTCAAATATTCAAGGACCAAACTGAACGGGAACGTGAAGTGGCGATGATAACAATAAACATCTGGATGGCATTTTTCCTTTTCAGTTGTCCTATTTTAACTTTTTTTTGTTTTGTTGCTGGTGTTTTCTTTCTTTTTTCATTTTTATAAACATGCCTGAGTTTGTATAGAAAATGTAAATAGCGTATCAGACTTGTCTGCCACTTGTCGTCTAGAAGTCAACTTTTGTAAAATACAAAAGAAACTAATACTAATCTTTATGCATCCCCCAGACTCAGCAAAAAAACACCAAGCTCTATACATCCTGTAACCACAAGTGTCTTTGTTTCAGATTCTCCATGTTGGACCTCATCTTATCATTGTCAGGACTTTAAAGCCTAATGCATCTTTTAGTAGCAATCAATACAATGAAAAAAGGGAGCTAAGTAAAATCAGTAGGCCATTAAAACCACACAGATACCTTTCTCCACACATGAAAGTGGAGAAAAACAGATTTGAGGAGGGAAAAAGACAAATTACAGCTCATAAGAAAACCTTGAGGGCCGGCCGAGTGGCACGATGGTTAAGAACTGGCTTGGGACGCCAGAGGGCCCTGGTTCGGATCCCACATATGAGGGCCAGTGACACTGCCCTCTACAGCTAAGATGCTGAACAACAGCTCCACCTGGAGCTTGGCTGCCATGAGTCGCGGGCAACGGCAGGTGGGGTGCCATGGGCTACGGTGTGTAGCCAGCAGCCGCTGTAAGCGGCCGTCCAGAAGCCGGTGACTGATCTGCCTCGCCCAGGAAGAGCGCAATGATGGTGCCAACTTGGGCCAGTGAAGCAACGTCCTCAACTAGACTGAAGAACAAAAGGATATCAACTTGTCTGTTCCCCTTCCCCCAATTCCCCAATTAAACAAACAAACAAAAAAGAAAACCTTGGTATCCAGTCTTGCCATCCATTGTCATACCTTATAGTGATCCTAAGATGACTAGCAGGGAAGGGTGGTTAGTGAAATGTGATCACTGCTGACATGACTCCTTGGCACAACACTGGATCTTCTTGCTACAATGGATCCTTTCCCAGTGTAAGTTCCCAGAAGGATTCCACTACGGTGTATCAACAGTCTCATCTGAATTCTCCATCTACTGATTCATTTCTTTCCACTAATACTGTTACATGGGGAAGAGATTCTTTGTTGTTTTTCAGGCTAATAAGGTCATTTTAGGAGATATCTCAGTTTTCAAAAACTTTCAATCGTTTCTTTCTTTCTAGACAATAATGTCCTTATCTTAGGCCTCTCTTCTGCTGGATACTGTTTTTTCTGTCCTGTTTCATCAGCTTAGCAGGTGCAGGGCAGGGCTATCTGTTATCATGGCTGACGATCAAGTTACTGAGGCAATTATGTATTAGCGATACGGATGGAAAAGAGGCTGCCTTGTCTTTCTGTGACTTTTCTTCAGTTGGTGTCTGGGAAGACTTGGAAGACAAAGTTGGGTAAACTCTTTGGAGTGGATCCCTGCCTTCTGGGTCTTTAGGGTTGAACAGAAAGACAAAGATCAAATGTTTCAACTTGCAAGAGACGGACGGTGGTGAGGAGGGAACTGCCAGAAGAATCTGGACTCCAACACAGTGTGGGAGGGAGAGACACACAATTTATTTGATTTTTAAAATAAGTCTAGGGGCAGCCGGTTAGCTCAGCTGGTTAGAGTGCAGTGCTCACAACCCCAAGGTTGCCGGTTCGATCCCTGCATGGGCCACTGAGCTGTGCCCTCCACAACTAGATTGAAACAACTACTTGATTTGGAGCTGATGGGTCCTGGAAAAACACACTATTCCCCAATAAAAAAATTAAATATTAATAATTAATATTAAAAAAATTAATAATTAAAAAAATAAGTCTAAGGTAAGCCCAGCAAGTATTATCCCCATTGTACAGATGAGAAAAATCAAGGCTCAGGGAAGTGAAGGGATACATTGGATACAGCTAGTAAAGGTAAAGACAGGATATGAAACCATGTCTTTGACTTCAAGTGTGGTTCTCTTTCCAGGACTAAAATGTCGAGACAAAACAACAACAACAACAACCCAAAAAACAACTCAAGAAGATGTTGGGTAGGACAAATCTTTGTGCAAAAAGCCAGCATGAAAAGTATAAATCTGTGTACTTGTTTGTGCACACACTTTTATTCCAAGTTCACAGAGAACAGAGATCTGGCATAGCACTATACTTAGTGTCTACTTGTTAAATTCCCTCATTAATCTGTCAAGTAATTTTTGAGAGCCTACAATGTGTCAGGCACTATTTCAGGTGCTGGGAATAAAATGGCAAACAAAATAGACTAAGTCCCCACCCTAATGGAGCTTACATTCCCAGCCAGGCAGAAAATAAACAAATCAACAAGTAAATAACGTACCAACATTAGGTAATGATAAGTGCCACAAAGAAAAATGAAACTGACTAAAATTAGAGAATGGCCAGGTAGAATTTATTTTTACAGAAAATATTCAGGAAGAACCGGCAGTTGGAAACCTGGATGAGGTGAAGTGAGGAGGCATGAAAATATCTGGGAGAAGAGTAATCCAGGCTAACAAAGTGAAGATTAACTGAGTAACAGCGGGTTAACGTTTCAGAGAGTGTTATGAGGCCAGTGCGGCTCAGCAGAGGAGTGAGATGGAGAGTAGTGGATAAAGAGGGCCACAAGAGCGCCATGGGGACAAGTGGCGTTGCAAACAGTGTATCTCCCACAATGACCTATCACCAAGTTAAGACTGTCACTCCTCTAGTTTGGCAAGGTGGGCCACCTTGACATGCTACCACTTGGACCACTGATGAAATCAATTATTCAATTTCACTTAGTTCTAATCAAGCTTAACGGATGTGCAACAGCCATGAAGGCAGACATTCAAAGAGCTAATGCTCCTTTAACAGAAGATCAAGATTAGCATCTAAGATCAAATTGGTGTGTCTGGCTAAGATAATTCATAAATCACACCATCACCTTGTTTCTATTAGATATATGTGCAATCTGGGACAATTTTTATATCCACTGATTGTCCCATCTGATCCCCGTGCATATCCCAGGAGAGAGATTATTATTAGTAATAGTAATAATTAGAGGTGCTATCATGGTCTTTATATAATTAGATGGAGGCTGAGAGAGGGTATGGAACCCAATGACAGGACTGGGGCTAGGACTTAGGTTTGCTGACTCCTGATTCAGGGCTCCTTCTATAACAGCCCACAAGAACCCTAATTTCAAAGATTTCTGGTGGTTCAAGAAGGATAATCCTTTACAGCAGCAGTTCTCAACCTGTGGGTTGCGACCCCTTTGAGGGTCGAACGACCCTTTCACAGGGGTCGCCTAAGACCATCGGAAAACAAAAAGATATTTACATTACGATTCATAACAGTAGCAAAATTACAGTTATAGAGTAGCCACGAAAATAATTTTATGGTTGGGGGTCACCGCAACATGAGGAACTGCATTAAGGGGTCACGGCATTAGGAAGGTTGAGAATCGCTGCTTTGGTATATGTGAAATCAACACAAATATACTAGATAGGATAAATACAGGCATTGTCAGATTTAATCAATGCGCATCAGTCCACCTGTATCAATCAGGGTCCAATCAGGAAAACAGTAACTAAACAGTTATTTTAACAGAGGGAATTTAGTATGGGGCATAATTAGTAACATAGATATTAGAGGACTAAAAAGGCAAAAAAGGAATGCTGCAATAACACAGAGAAAGTAACTGCAGGAAGCAGCTCATGTCCTTAGGGCTGGGGAAGAAAGGGAAGAGGCTGGCATTACCTCGAGGAGCTGGGACTCAGACCTCAAGATGGGAGTGCTGCGCAGCTGGTGCTGGGACCTCCAGAGCTTGGAGGAGGAACCCACTGGAGGAAATTAATAAGGCTAGAGGAAAGACTTACTCCTTCCTGTTTACATCACCCCAGCAATGGTTCTTCACCCTGGCAGCGGCAACTGGTTAGTTTCCAGTTTTTTCCTACTCCCAGAACAAGGCTCATCATGCCTCCTACTGGCAGAACCTAACGGGAAGCCAGTGGGCAAAGGAGAATGGTTTTCAGCATCTCAGTGTCAGCGTCACAAAGCAAAGGAAAGGAGGGTGGGTTTGGAGCTGAGACAAGACCTGAAAACAACACACCTTCTGATGGTAAGAGTTGCTATAAATTTAAGAGTGCCATTGTTTTCAAATGGCCTGACTTGCAATATTTTCCCCATCAAGGATTCTACAGCATCTCGTGGTTTGTTTTCATACCTTTCATTTTTCTAAGTTATATTCTTTTATTAAAGGATAATTTCTTAGTTTAGGCTAGTGTCCACTTTATCATTGACATCATTGAGTGTTCTATTTTTTTTTAAGTGATGAAAATACTCTTTGGCATCAGTCTTTGGGTCTCCTGAAAAGTAGAGACCACTAACTATTTCATGGCTCCTAGATTCATGAAATCCTTGCTACCTGTATTTCAATGAATCTAAGATACCATCAATTATAAAACACACCATTAGTTTATGTACCAGTAAAAAAGGAAAAATAATTCCAATTAAGTTATATCACAATGTTTCTAATCACTTAGAATATTTATTTTATACTTATTGGAAGAGCTTTTAGACTTAGGCATATTTATATCAGATATACATAGAAAAATATAAGTGAAATAAATTGATCCAGGGATTCCTAAAACTTCTTTATATCATGATTCTTTTGAATCCCTTTTTGACTCAATGATATTCATACTTTTCTATGCAATTTTGTCCTTAGTGTCACCAAACACATTAGTGATAAAGCATTTCAAAAATCAATTCATAAAGGGAACTAAAATCCATTGGTCTGGGCTCTTGAGCAGGCTTTAAAATTATGTGGAGCTAGCCTATTTTTAAATGCCTCTTGAACCATCCCATACCCACTCTCCATTTGGCTGTTTAGGGGTTAAAATAATATTTTACTCTCTTACTATTTTATTTGTCAATTATACCTCAATAGAGCTGAAAACAACAACATTTTACTAACGTCTCGGGGGTTTTCTTTCAAGTTGCTGAAGTCCCTTCTGTAGCTTTTAGTGCTGGCATTTTTGATGTTTACACATTTTGATGTTTACAGGCAGTGAGGACTATGCAGGCCTGTCTCCTGGCCAACAGCTCCAATAAGATACCACAGACACACTCTGATTTCAGAGATGTGAAAAAGCAGACACATAGAGTCTCAGACACATACGCTCGTAGACACTCCACTCATCTTCCTGTGTCCTCCCATAACCTTCAGCTCCATATTCTCTGGGTCCACAGATGCCTTCAAGAGCCAAGTCAGGCTTATTGAGGGAAAAGGTCTATCTGCTTTTTTTTCTTCTCACACTAGAAATGACAAAAAACTTGACTTTTAAAAGCCTTAAAAACATAGAGACTTTAGAGATGCTGTCCAAGGTAAGCTGACCAAAACAGAACCAAGGCCATTTTTTATTTTTGAGGCATTTTCCCAAGTAGCAACTAAAAAGCCATCTCCAGTATTTGGTCAAACCGTGATCTAAAACCATTGCTTCTTTGGCTTCAGGTGCAGTTTCTCAGATGGGCTTGTAGTGAGTCTAGTTTCATATTCAGAGTTAGAAAAGTAAAGTGTTTTGTTGCAATAAGGGTTAAGAGTATAACATACGGAACAAGAAATCCTTGAGCTCAGCCAAGAAGGAAGCAAATAAGTTACTGAGAAAGGCTGTAGATGACAAGGTCATAAATTACTTATAGACACCGGCCTAGAGTGGAGGAGAACAAAAAGACTAAGGAAAAAGAGCTTTGGTTTTGTATTTTACAGTGTAAAACTGTCCAGTATTAAAGAGTATTAATAGTTCTGGACACCATAAAAAATAAGAGGTAGTCTTGGCTTTGCAGATTTAAAATCTGTACACAGGGTGGCCGGGTAGCTCAGTTGGTTACAGCGTGTGCTCTGAACAACAAGGTTGCAGGTTTGATTCCGGCATGGGATGGTGGGCTGAGCCCCCAGCAACTAGACTGAAAATGGTGACTGAAATTGGAGCTGAGTTTCACCCTCCACAGCTAGACTGAAGGACAACGACTTGACTTGGAGCTGATGGGTCCTGGAAAAAACACACTGTTACCCAATTAAAAAAATAAATAAAATAAAAAATAAAATCTGCACACATACCAGAAGCAGGGGAAACACGGGCAGTGTTCTCAAGGGAGTAGTTTCCAGTCACAGAGATAAGAGACTAACTAGCAATCCAACTGGGGAGTCAACCAGTTGTGGTGGATGAACAAGTGAAAAGGACAAATGAGTGAAACCTAATGTTATATCCCTGTTTTCATGATTATTTTTAAGTTTTCATGATTATTTCTTAGACTCAAATAACCAGAAGAGTATGATAGGGAGGAATATACCAATGTAAGGAAAAAAATTGCTACTCAAAATTTAAGACAGGGAATGTTAACCTAAAGTAAAAGTAGCAAGTTAATTGTTTGTTTGTTTGGAATAAAAAACCGTCTGATTCCACTTTTGGAAAGGAAACATATGCACATGGAATGTAAGGATACCTGGGCACTGGCCTCTCATCCAGTCACCCTTCCTCAGAGGCATTATAATCTCAAATATGAATAAAAATGGACAACAGGTCATGATTAGTAAAGAGCTATTGAAAGAAATTTGTCTCCTACTCCAGTTCTGTTTTAAAAATCAATTTAAAAATGCTGATCATTTAAAGAATGAAAGCGTTCAACAATGTTGGTTACAAAACCCAGAAGACTTCCATCCCCATGGCAAATATTTTCACCTCATTTCAGGCATTCTCTGTTGACTTCCCAACAGAGATGAAGATTTAGTTTTCTTCCCCTCACCTCCCACCAGCCCTCAACACACACTCTCACTCTCTCTCTCTCTCTCTCTCTCTCTCTCTCTCTTCCCATCCCCCAAGAGAGTTAAACTCTCATTTGATTATGTAACTCATTCACAACTCTGATTACTTTTCCTTTCCTTACTTTTATTTCTCTGGAGTTAATAATTATTTTATTTGCTTGCTTAGTTTTCTATGTACTTACACAATTTCAACAAACAGCTTCTATTGCAATTCTAACAATTTGATGTTTAAAGATGTAAGATTTATTCAAAATCTTATTCACTGCAATGTTCTAATACTGAAAAAGTAAATCAGTATCCACCAATGAGAACTGGTTAAATCCATTACAGTTTTCCATATTATAAAATACTTTGCAGATCTTATAAAGAATGAGGTTGATTAACAAGTATTGATACATGTACCAAATTAAGCCTTTAATTTTATGTCATTACATACATCTGTAACTCTAATATTTTACAATGGGCATGCATTTTTATAATCAGAAAAAAATGTAACAAAATTTAAATCAGAAAAAGTAATCTGATTCATATTTTGTTTGTAGTTATTCATATAACCAATAAAATTTAATATATATATTTTTATTTTATTTAGATGCTGGAAAAAAGTCTGAATATTTTTTTTCAGCTACACAAGTTTGGCTTGTAAGCCAATCATCTCAGAGATGTCTGAAGAGATTCAACTTTGGAAGAAGGAAAACTAGAATTTGCATACTTCTAAAGGAAAACGTTTTCCAAAAAAAAAATGAATAGAAAGGAGTGCTTGTAAAGGAAGCACTGACTTATCCTGAAGCAAATACTAAATTACAGTCAATAAAATGCTTTAGTTTCATCCTGGACAGCTGCAGGATGGAGCAGCATCTAATGAGACAAGCCCAGAGTGGCGGGACTAGGCCACTGTCGCTCAACCAATCAGCGCCTGGGCTTCCAGATGTCAAGTCAGCATAAAAATGCCTGCCCTTTCCGTTCCTACCGTGTTTCGATGCACAACTGCTGCGACACCACGGGGTCGTAACAAGAATACTGCCCGTCCTTCATGACTCATAAAGGTACTTTCGCGATCACCTTTCTATCAGGCCAGACCCACGGACATACCGGGGGTCAGAAACAGGCTGTCGCAGGCTTCTGGGTTGTGTCAGGAAGCAAGCATCCACTGACAACAGTGGCTAATTTTCTTGGGGTTGTGGGCAGCTTGGAGAAGTGGAATTTAAACATATATCAGGCCACTGAGCCTGTGTACACAACTTACCGTGCGTTCCCAAACCCCAAACTGGGCTCCCCTGGGGCCGGGCCTCTAGCCTCCTCACCCACCCAGCCCGACCCCCCTCCCACTCCTGGGGAGCAGTTAGGCCCGGGCAGGAACCACGCACCGAAACGAGCGGGACACGCAGGTGATCCCCCTGCAGACGGTTGAAGGCGGGGAACGTGCTCCAGGCGAGGAACCCGCCGCGCTCCGGTCCCAGCAGGACCACGAGCAGCACCTGGTGCTGGAAGCGCACGGTCGGCTGCTCCTCGTAGTTGCTCCGCTTCAGCCAAAACCCTGAGGTAAAGAGGGCGGGAGGACGGTGGGGAGGAGGTCAGGAAGGCCCGCGCGGGCGTAGCGGGGCCGCGGGGAGCTCTGTCGCGCATCGGCCGGGGGCAGGCTCACCGTGGCTCCGGAAGGCCACTAGCAGCGGCGGGATGTACGTAAGCGCGGTGGCCAGCAGCAGGAACAGCGCGGCCTTGGAGCAGAGCCCCGCGCGGTAGCCGCGCTCGGTTGGGTGAGAGAAGAGCTCGTAAAGCGCCATGAGCGCGGCGCCGAGTATGGCTGCACGCTTCTGACCCCTCTGCACATAGGGAGGGGCGACCAAGTTTGGCTTCTCCTGGTTGCCATAGCCTTGGTCTCTACGGCAACCGACGGCGCAGGAAAAGGAACCAATAGCAAGGACGCCGGGCCTTGATAGGGGTGGGGCGGACGGGGGGCGGTGCCCACTGGGGCGGTCGACTTTGTTTTGTACGTTTCGTGCGTTTTCCCAAAGGCTGAGTGGAAGTAGGGTGTTTCTGTGCACCCAAATCGTTGCTGTCGCCCGTATTAACATTTGTGTAAAATAAGATTTTCATAAAAGTTGACTCAAAGTAAATACCTGCTATATGTCTGTCATTCATTAAGTATGAACCAATGAGATTCATACATAAGTCCAACCAGTGTCAGCACACCTACATTGGAGGAAAACACAACATAAATGTGCCCGTAATCTTGAGCCTGGTCCTGGGCTAAGACCAAATCCAGATCCCTTTGTTTCCAAATTTCCTGTTGCTTTCACTATATTCCATAGCAGGACAGACACAGAAACAGGACACAAATCTCCCGGTTCTTCGTGGGATAAAGGATAATTACTTACAGAGCTCTCTCTGCTATACTTTGTTACCCTGTATTGGGTACAAGCTCTGCTATCGGTTTTAGGGGAAGCTATGGTCTTCCCCAAAGATAACATTGGCTTATCACTTAATTGAATGTTCCCTCCTGCCCTCACCCCAAACCAGTATTTCGAACATGGCAGAAGAATTCCTTCCTTCCTTCCTTCCTACTTTGCTTCCTTCCTTCCTTCCTTCCTTTCTTCTTCTTTTTTTTTTATCATGGTTTACATCCAAGTTCTTCACCAAAAGGCCCTGAAGGATCATATTACAGTGCCAAGACATAGTGTGAGGTTTGTGCTCAGAATGGAGTCCAGTAGTAGATGCCATTATTTTAAAGGCAACCTAGAAATGGCTTTTAGATGAAGAGAACAGCCAAGATCCTAACAACAGAGAGAGTTCAAGACCTGTACATTTGGGAAAACTATCCAGGGTCCTTACCACAGTCCAAGATGACAGTGTCATTAGCCATAAAATGCTTTTGACATATCCAGTCCAGTACTATTCAATTCTTGCTTTAAAGATTTTCTGGACTGGCAACACAACTCTTAAATATAGCAATTGTATTTTTTTTTTTAAGCTGAGCCATCCTGCCACCTGTTGGCAGCTCAGCGGCAGCTCAACTCAGGCCAGGCATCGAACTGCTGTTGCTCAGAGCTCAAACTCTTGAGCGAGCTCTTAACCAACTGAGTCACTTGGCCGGCCCAATTGTATTTTTTAAATCTTATCATTCTGACGTTATATATTCTTTCAGTGGATGACTTTCATTTATTTCAATAACCATTAAAATAAGATTCTAGAATAGATGGTTCTAGTGTCACCTCCTGAGGGTGGCTCTGCTCTGAGGAAGATGTTTGCCTCCAAAGCTCCTCTTTCAGCAGAAGGAAACAAGCACTGTAGCCAATGTCAGCGTCGTTACTGCTGAAATAGAGGGAGGTGACTGCTAAGAATTTAGGTGTATGAGCATCCTGAGATGCCATGAGCTTTGCAAAGTATTTCATAATTTAATCTTTGATTCCATGATTTGAGGAAGCTAGTCTTTGTGGTTTATTTCAATTATTTAAGAGAGAACATTAATTTTTTAATGCTAAAGATCTGTGTATAATGTGTGATTTTTATGCATTCATGACTGAGAACTGACTTCTTAGTTTCCATATCTATAATTTTCTGATGTTTCATACAATTTACCTCCAAGGACAAAGAGTCGTTCTCTTAAAACTGCACATTTTAATCATATTCTACCTGTTTCTAGAAGCCCCCATTCAAGGTCCTTTTAATCCGTTTAGAACGCCTGAATTTTTACTTCAGAGGTTTCCAACACTTCTCTACATCTTCACTTGGATGTGTCTCTCAGACATCTCACACTTAATACACCCAAAACCAAACTCTTGATTTTCAACCTACCCCACAAGCTGGATCCACTCTATTTCAGTAAATGGCAATTCCATCCTTACAAAAACCTTGACTTGTCCCTCACACCTCATACCCAATCTATCAGCAAACCTACCACCTCCACAGACACTGTCTTGGTCTAGGTAAGCCAACATCTGCTTTCACCTGGATCATCATGATAGCCTGTCAACTGTTCCCCTTGCTTCCATCCTCAACCCCCTAGTCTACTGTCTACACAGAAGCTAGCCTGATCACTTAAAAAGGAAAGTTTATCATGTCAAAATCTGTGCTTAACATGGAATTCAAAGGTCAGTAGTTTTGTTCTAGATCTATTTGATCTCATCTCCTCACACTCCCCCTTTTTTATTCAGCTCCAGCCAAAAGGGGTTCCCTTCTAGTTCCTAGAATATGCCAACTACTTTATCTAATTAGCAGTCTATCGCACCATCACTCTCTAGACATCAACCCTGATTTGCTTTTCTAAACAGCACCTATCATTACATGGTATATTTATTTTTGGTCTTGTTCCTCTAGAATACAAATTTCATGAGAGCAGTGGTGTTGTCTGTTCACTGCTTTCCCCCAACACCCAGAACAGTGTTCCTATATATACAAGTTACTTCTAGGTACGAAATTCAAAGGACTTTTCACTTCATTAAAAACATGTAAGTAAAAAAAAAACCATCTTGATTGCTCACACACAATTTTAAAATAACAAAAATACTTTTAGAATGAAGCTAAATTCCACAGCATCCATCAGGAATTTTAGCTGTAGGAAATGATGACTGACAATGTCCAAACATTCCGGCCTTACAGATGCATCAGCATCACAGGCACGTGGCAAGGATCATGTGCCCAATTAAGCGAATATTCTTGTTACTTATTCACCAGCTCATAAACAGATGATGACCTACAGCAGACTGCCCTGATGATTCTGCTAGGAAGAAAGGAATGACATCACTGGAGAACCTGAAGACTCAGGCCGTGACACACACACACACACACACACACACACAGCCGAGGCTGTGATTGCTGAACTCCAAGATGACTGCCAAAGAAGCCCATCTCATGACCAGCTATCAGGGGAATTCTCTGAGTCTGATAGTCACCTCGGACTCCTCTCCCAATTAAGGTTAAGGAGTCTCTTTGTGATCAGTGTGATGTTACAGTCCTCAAATGCCTATTTGTGATCCCTTTTCTTAAATGTTTATTTAAACATTTATTCATGAATCAAGGAAGGAAATTGGATTTGTTTAAATTCAATTTCTAGGTTCAAGGCAACCTGTCACGGCTGTCCTTAATGCTGAACCCCAGGGTTGTCATCACTACCCCTCCCCACACAGTACCTTCAAATTAGTCACACTTCCTGTATGGAGCCCCCAACCTGTTACCACTCCAAACGGTACTCCCCAAGCTGTCAACGCCCTAAACAGACCCACCCACCCCATCCCCCATCACTAACCACGAGACCCCTCTTCTGTCATTCATACCTCCAAAATCCTCCTCGCCACCAATGCCCCAGACTTCCCTCATGAACAGCCCTTTGCAAGGGCCCTATTCTATCAGCAAGACCTTCAAACTCCCCTTCCCGTAATCAAGGTCCAACGAGACCCTACTTCTGTTACGAGTTCCCAAATATCTCCTCCCCAGTCGCCAAGATCCCTCGCAAATGCCCCTGTCGTCAACGTCATCAACTCCACTCACCGGGTTGCCCCTCGTGAGCAGCGCCGGAAGCCCCGCCCCCGGCCGGTTGCTAGGCTCCAACAGCCGGAAGTCCCGCCTGCCGTGTATTCACCGCCGCCGCCGTCGCTGTCGTTGTTGTTGTGGTTGGTGCTCTGAGCTCCGCGGCTCCGAGAGCCGGCTGCGTCCCTTCCTCGCCGCCGCCATGAAGTGGATGTTTAAGGAGGACCATTCTCTGGGTAAGCGCTCCGCCACTGGCGGGGCCGTGGGGGCCGGCGCGGCGGGTGGGCCCTTCCCCCACTCGGGCCGCCTTGGGCTGGGTCGGGCGGGGCGGATGTCGAGCTTTGGTCTCAGGTCGCCAAGGCCCCAGTCCCCCGGGCAGCTGCCCACAGACCCCGTGCCGCCTTCTGCAGGCCCTGCCGGGAGCTAGGGGACCGAGGACCGAGGCCGCCGGGACACCCGAACGAGGGCCCGGGGCGTACGTAGGTCGCGGGGGGAGGAAGGCTGGGGGCCCCGGAACCGGCCTTCGGGCAGGCGTGACCGTCAGCCCGGTGTGTTTCTCCCGCAGAACACAGATGCGTGGAATCCGCGAAGATCCGAGCGAAATATCCCGACCGGGTTCCGGTGAGTGGACTCCCCGCCCCTTCACCTCGCTGTCACCCCTGTTGTCTGGGACCCGTGACAGGGCACCAGGTCATTCAACAGTTGACAAGTTGAGGTTCCAGTCCCGGTTATAGTAGCAGATGGGCCAAACTGGTTTAGGGACCGTTCGGGCCCGGGGCGTGAGGGGGCTCGAGCTGGTGCTGTTCAGGGTGCCTCAGTGCTGAATCTCCCGATCTAGGCCAGCGAGCTGTCTGCAGCCTCGGGGCTCCCTCACTAATTATGTAAGGAACGATGTTCTAGGACAGGGCAACAGGTCACTGCCACTTTGGGGACCGATAATGGAGGGAGACTGTCACTTTGGTCTTGGAAGTGGTACTTTAGTCTCAGGACATTCTCATCTTTAACTTTAAACCACCATTTTTATCTGCATTCCAGCACCCTTTCCTTACTTACCCTGACCCTGTCATTTTTTTCCTGACCAAAAAAATTGGAGAAGCCGCTGAAAACCCCTTCTGTATTTTTCCCTTAATCAATACTAAATATTATATTTCTTCCATGGTAGGGCAGATGGTTTCTGTAATCCTTATTGATTTTTAAAGGACATCCAGGCCTGTTGTTGTAGCTCTTTGCTTGTGAACAATTTCTTTGGAGAGGGGAGAGGGGGACAAATTTGAAACCTCGTTCAGAGAGAAGCAACAGGCCAAATGAAGAGCTTGGTGGTTCTTGGCTGGCTGGAATTGCTAGTCATTCCCATCAGTCCATCCATGCTCAATTCCTGTGTTCCTTGGGATCTTAATTCCCCTGTAGTGTGAAGGTAGATCCATTCTGGGATCCTGGAATCACAGGCTGCAGATGGAACCCTCACTAGATATTCAGGTCTGCCTTGACAAAATG